CATCTTGAATTTGGGCGGGAGCACCAGGTCAGGAACTAAGATTATTTCTGTTGCATCCATTTCATTGTGAGAGTTTTGTCCCCTCATTCCCTTGAATGTTTCTCTACACCACTTTTTCAAGTTCTCCGAAATCTCATTCTTGGCTCATTTCTTCTCACCATGATCTAACATGTTGTGATCAGTAGGGATACCCCGAGGTTTTAACACGGTTGCTTGAGTTTTAGTGGTGGAGAAGCCTACTTGGTGGCTTGGAAGCTTATCGAACGAAAGGAATATCAATGGGTTTGCATGTGCATTCACACATTTAGAGGTTTCACGGGTCGAGGAAAACTTCTCTTTCCCTCTTTCTGGTTGAGCCTATTTAGTTTTGCTATAATTTGGTCTACTAGGTGGTCTTGGTTTTGCAAGATACGATCCACAATTGCCTTTTTCTCTTGCTCTATTTTAGCTTCCACTCTGTTTACATTCTTTACAAATTCTCTTCCAGTTATTTCTTTAGTTTCTCAAATTTTGCTTCCATTCTCAATACTGAGTGAATGAAGTTGTACAGTTAGAAACACCTACTCAAATTACTCCACGAGATAAACCCAAGATTTCATGATTAATGCATGTAAAAATGCCTAAAGGAATGCCATGCATAATGAAAAGATGCAGATGCAAAAAATGTTGATCCCAACGATGAATATCATAGAACAATTTTCACCAGAGATAAAAGCCTTCACATTACAAGGTAGTCTATTTTACAGACATGCTTTTACTTAGATGTTGAGTCTGAAATAGGTCAGTGCTTTGTCTAGGATCTTCATCCTTGAAAATGATTCCCCTCCAGTATTCTATAACCTAACTCGGTTAATGCCTCTATAGTGCTGAAGTCAGTACATCGCTCCTTGATGACTAGAATTGAAATGATCGTAGATAAGAATATATTGTTGGATTACTTCTCGGATCAATAGATCATCTTTCCAGTCTCGAATATTGCATGATTTGCAAGTAGGTTTCATTCTTGAACTTTGAACTTTTTTAGCCCTTGGTGCATGTTTGTGTACGCGTTGTTTGATTGAAAACTTTTATCTCTCCCTGTGAAAATTTTCACTTGAATATCCCCTTGCGGATCAACACTTTCTCATTATGTCATGTTTATGAAATACAATGCAAAAAATGACGAAAAATGACTCAAACAAAAGAAAAAAAACAAGTTAGTATGAGCAAATCAATAAAATTAAAAGATGTTATTTCAAGATAAATATAAAACCTACCCAATCATGATATCTACCCGAAATGATTTATTTTCAAGAAAATAATCTTAACTACATGGTATCTAGTTTGCATGTTGTTATTCAACATACTTTAAAGAAAAAATGAAAGGTTCAATAACGCTCGTCCTTTGTGTACACTTATTTTGGGTACCTAATGACGGACAGAGGTTTGGTATGACTATATCTAGGGTGACCGCTCTACGATTCACTATATGCATGGTTTCGGCTCTATGAGGAAAATGTACTCGAATTGTCCGTGATATCGGTGCCCCCTTGGGTTACCAAACCCTCAATCATCTCCCATTATAGACGTAAATGAATTGAGTTCAATTCGAGGAGATTCACTTCCTTATACCCATACGAGGAATAAATCTCTACGAAGGTATGAGGTATGTATCCCATGGGTTATTTGCTAAAACTCATACGAAGAATAAATTCTTACGAGAGTAAAGCATTCACTCCGATTTATTTGATCGAAGCTCAAGTCTAGAGCTTATATCATGCAAATGAACGTGATGTGTGTGAGGAGGACCGTACAAACCTTTGACTCAAAAGGAAACGAAAAACTTGATAAAAACTTTAAAAAAGCTTAAAAAAATCAATTACAACGTTAGTATGATAAACACACATAAATTAGAAAAACAATTCAATAAATTGATCATAAGCTAACTATAGACTCGAACTAATAATTTCTTCCAGAATGACAATATGTAAGCAACCTACAGCCTGACTCTCTAAAAAAAGTCCCATCAGAGTCGCCAAACTGTCATAACCATTTTTTTTGAAAAATAATTTAATATTATTTTTTTTTAAATTATGACTTTTATTTGGAAAATTAACTTGAATTAAATTGAGTAGGAGTCTTCATCGACCTTTGAGTTAGGTAAGTCGAATACCTAAAATCATCTTTTAAAACAATTTTAAGGAAAATCATTTTTTAAGACAAAAGTTGGCATGCGTTTACCAAAAACTCAATTTTACGGGTCCGGGAGTTAGTTATGCGTGGGGAATGATTATCACCCCCACAACGCCCAAAATTGGTACTTAGTCGCTTACACGTTGTCGTAGTGGTGGAAATTTGAATCAAATATAAAGTTAAAATATGACCCCTTTATTAAAGTTTAATTGATTTGCTTTGAATTAATATTATTAGGGAAAATTCTTTACCTTGAAAAGAAATCTCTAGATTAACAATCCTTCATCGGGAAAGCTATCTCGCCTATTTCTTACCTTTAAAAGAATATTCCCTCCTCAATAAAAGTGCAAATCGAATGTAAATTAATTATCGACCTTTACATAAAATAAATTACTATATATAAAAGCGCATTGGATCATTTGAAATAAATAAATAAATAATTTGTAAAATAAACTAGATTTATTTTAAGTTCCCATTTCGTTTTGCAACACTTCAATCAAATGTTACTTTCCACGCCCGTTCTACAAATGCAATTCTTGAAAATATTCGAATAACATATAAAAATTTCACTATCTAATAAGATACACAAAAGATTAATAAAAACTTCATGAATCCAAACCAAGTAAGTATGCTAGAATAAGATACAAGAAAATTAGCATATAAGTATATATGATTAAACAGTATTGAAAAGATTACATTAATTATAAATTATGGAACAATAGAATTATTCTATAAACAAGTAAATTAAAAACACGTACGTAAAGGCAACACTTAAAGAGAAATAAGCAACAAATAACAAATAACAAATAACCTAATAATTAAATCAGGATTACATTAGATCGAACAGCAAATCACAGGGGCATATAGGATATTACTCCATAAAATTTTGTAAAAAAAAAAACACAAACTTAAATAGTTACCATAATAGAAACAAGACTAAAAATCAGAGCTTAAAGTCTAAATATAATCATGTACAAATAATTTACAACTATAGACTAAAATGAAATAATCCATAAATCAACCATTCAAAACTGATATTTAATCGAAAGCTAGCATTAAGCATTCAATGACCAAAATTCAAACAAAACAAAATTTAAAGTACAAAATATGAATGATGTAAAGTTACATTCACTGTCCAAAGGATGATATTACAAGATAAGGGGGTCTAAACTGTAAATATCCCCAAAAAATTAAAAGAACGGTGAGATTACAAAGCAGCAAGGACCAATGTTGATATTAACCCATAATCTAAAACACGTTGAACCCCCTTCCAGAACGACGTCATTCTATGCGTATTATTTAAGGCCAAAATTCGGCCAAACTCTCATTTGGCTCGGTTTAGAGGTAGAGGGAGGAGAGAGAAATCTCATATCTCTCAACTCCCTCATCGGATAAGAGAATGGTCGCTGCTGCCGTCGGGCTCACGGCAGCCCACGGTGGTCGGAGAGAGAGACCCCACAAGGTCCCTCTTCGTCCTCCTTAACTCGAAAACCAACCTCGTTCAACCTAAAAAAACCCTCTAAAGCCCTAGATCTAGCTTGATACCTTTCGAAAGCTTTAAAAACCGGCGACCTTTGGAATCGAACCCTTTGAACCAAGGTACGTTGCTCTCCTTCTCTTTGGTATTTTTTTTTTTTTTGCTCGAATATGACTATGTTTCACTTGGTTTCCTCTCTCTTTTGTTTTTCCTTTTTTTCACGATTGTTCTCTCTGGTTTCCTAAATTTCTCTCTCTGATTGTTTCTTTTTGTTTTGAATGGTTCTCCCCCTCCTTTTGTTCTCTCTCCGATTTTATCCTTTGCATGTGTGATTGATGATATCTGTTGTTGAGAAGATATGATATCATCATCCTATCTCCATTGATTGACCCATCAAGATTTGCCTTGGATTTGCTTTAATTTTTTATTGATTTGGTGTAGAATCGGTCACTGTTCGGCCAGATTGCAGACGACGGCGGCTCGGGTGTGCTCAGCGACGGTTCACGCGTCTGGGAAGTCAAAGGGTTGGCGCGTACATCACACGCGCGCCATCGAATGGTCCAGATCCCTCGTCGGCGGCGACTGGATGATAATTAGGGTTAAAACCCTAATCTGGATCATCTTAGATCGTTGGATCAAATCTAATCCAACGGTTGGAATCTCAAGCGACGCTGGACAGAAATGAAGAAACCCTAGCGGGTTCGGGTTGTCTGGGCCTTAGGCGAGTCGGATCCGATCGGATTTGGGTTAAATGGGTCTGGTGTTGGGTTTGGGGCTTGAATTGGGCTTGGGGTTGTTGTTGTAGTTGGGCTCTGGGTGAGCTGTAATTGGGTTTCAGTATTGGGCCTACAAAACTGTAATTGTTAAAATAATAATAATAATAATAATAATAATAATAATAATAATAATAATAAAGACTCAAACAAAAATGAGTGTCCACAATATGCTAATATGGATATTTGATAATAGGGTTGCTATTTTAGATGCTTAGTTGTGGTAAGATTAGAAGTAGTATTACTAGGACCTAATGTGTATGGTGGAAACATATTCTAATACACATTATGAATTTGAAAGTATAGTTAGTAAGTTGCTTGTAAATTGTAATGAATATTAATGATATTTTGTATATAAGGACTAGTTTCTTATGTTAATGGTGATAGAAGAATATCTTAATTGTAATTTTGGATATTGCTTTTATTTCTGTAAAAAAAATGATGATAATTTGATTAATGTTTGTCTAAAAAACATGGTTATTAAGATGATTCTAATAGCAGTAAATCTCGATAATAAAATGGCTAGTGGTTTCCACCAACAGATGCCCAGCAGCCATTAAAAATCAGCACAGTTTATTAAAATTCAACAACTGCCGTCTTGATCAAACACTCTAAATAACACAGTTTATCTTCAGTGGCAGGATTCATGCCATCATTCACTAGATATTTGTAGAAGTTCATGCCCACCACCCAAGATCAATGCTGATCCTGGTGCGTTCAGTTTATGTACTTCAATATGTGGATTTATAAGCATTTGTTACAGAAGGCATTGCCATAATGTCATTTCAAGGTGTTCTCGATGTCGATCACAAAGCGATACTTAGCATCCCTCTTTACCAGCCTTTCAAGAGCTTCATTGACATATTGGATTGGTATTACCTCTATCTGTGGGTAAATTTTTTCAGCAGCACAAAAGTCTATCATTTCTTGAATCATTTTTGTTCCCCCTGTCATGCTTCCTGCGATAGTTCTCATACCTGACAGCCAAATGGTCGATTCAACCAACTTAGGTTTACAATTAATCAAGTGAAAACAAGGAATTCAACACAAAATACCAAAAATACTGTTATATACCCAGATTAAGACTTGCAGGGCTGAATTTGACTTCACTTGGGAACCCAACAAGGGCATAAACACCAGCAGTCTTCAAAAGTGACAGGTAGGGGTCAAATGGATGATCCCCAGATGCAGTGTCAACTATAAAGTCCAATGATTTTGATAGGCCCTGCACCAAAAACATAAGCTCCAGTAAGGTCAATGATTATGAGTTATTGTAAATATTAGCTTCTAAGACTCCTTAATCATTACCCTCATTTGCTCTTGTTCAGAAGAGACAACAAATTTGTCCGCACTAAGCAGTTTCAGAGCCTCCTCTTTCTTAGATATGCTTGTGCTAAGAACTGTTACATTCAACCCAAACGCCTTACCAAACTTCACAGCCATGTGACCGAGACCGCCAAGCCCGATCACTCCTAAAGATTTGCCAGGTTGGTTCATGTTATGGCGCATCATCGGTGTATAAACAGTGATTCCAGCACAAAGCAGAGGTGCTGCTGAAGCCAAAGGATAGTTGTGTGGTATTTTGAAGCAGTACCTGTTGATTCAACAACAAAAACTAATAATTTTATCATTCATAGACTTTTTCCAAGGCTGTGGAACATTAAAATTGCAGAAAAAGAGTAAATTAACTCTAGAAAAAATAAAATATCAAATTGTTGTACACTATTAAATCCATCATTTTGTTATAGTCTCTTTTATTTGGGAATTATTTGATGATTAAATTCAAGTTTCAACTTTATATCATGTAAGGGTGCAAAAGCTATTAATCAAACAGTTGCTTGTAAATTAAGTTTTTTTTTTTCTTCCTGATGATCAATACCTATAACAGCTCCGAATTAGAGTGCAGATATTGGAAGCAGTATCCTGAAAGCTATCCTAATAACACCTAGAAAAATTATATAGAAAAGCAACAAAAATAAGCTCAATGCATAACAGATGAAAGAAAACCCCACTTGAACCATAGTTTTAGGCAGCCAGATCACATAAAACCGTTGGGAGGATATCTTATCACAGTTATAACTTGTAAGAAACAGCTTCATGCAATGAAAACTCATAAAGTTCAAATTCAGCTTAGAATTTATTAGTAAATATCTTATCACATATAGTTATGAATCATGAGATGCTTACCTTTCATGGACAACAATAAAACTAGAATATCCACCTTTTGTGACCGTTCCATCCACATCAATACCATTAAACGTGGCAACATTCTGTTTTTCACACTGAACTTCAAAGCCGACATTACAATACTCACAATCTCTGCATGAGTTGACATAAGTTCCCACTCCAACTGGATCACCGACCTTGAAGCGTTGAACATTGGAACCGACCTCCTTGACAATACCAGCAATCTCATGTCTGGAAGCAGTTATAAAACCCATTTCAGCTTAATATCAAATTTAGAAAGGCATGATAATTCACAATTTTGAAAAAGAAAGAAAAAAAATCATACCCTGGCACCACAGGATACTTTGAATCTCCATGCATATTCCTCGACCAAACAACATCAGCATAACAAACTCCACAGTGGGTAATTTTTATGGAAACATCGTCGCTTCCAAGAGGCCTGAATACATCAGTCAGGCCAAGAAGAACGTGAATTAGTTATAAAGTTTAGTTGTTTCTAATAGTCAAATGAATGAATGCTGCTACAAGAAAGATTCCTTGTATTATTCTGTTCTCTGAAATTGGCAATAACATAAAAATAGGTCAATTGAAAGGTAAAAGAAAGAACGAGTCCGACGCACCTGCGACTGAACTTGTATGGTGATAGAACTCCAGATGGATCTGTGGCAGCCCACCCAAGGCAGTCCCCGGCGTTGGTCTGAGAATCCATTGGTCAACTAAACCACAACAGAATAAATACACGCTCAGTTTTATCAATGAAACGAAAGAGAAAAGACAAAAAATGGGGGGGGGGATCTTGTGTTGATTCGTTCTTCAATGGAATCCCAAATCCAGATTCCAGGTCGAATCACACATTCATCTATCAAATATTTTTAGTCTTGTTTGGGACAATCAGAAAGGTTTTGATGATGTGATTGAAAATATGAAACTAAAGCTTAGCGTAGGATTCAACGCTGTGGGACATGTGAACTACTAATGGATGGTTCAAGTAGAAGAAGAAGAAGAAGCATACCGTTTGCTTAGAATAATCTGGATTGTACAAGTCAAATCCAAGGGGAAAAAAGGCCTTCACAGTTGTATATGGACTTTTTTGTTTGTTTTTTCTATTCTCCAAAACGGTAGTACCCTATTTAACATTTGTCAGGCTCACATGGCTACCGGCCTAAACTTACTCTCTTTCAACAAAAATAATTAAGAGTAAACTACACAAGCCTAAACTTACTCTCTTTCAATTAAGAGTAAACTACACAAATATTGACTAATATTTGATTAAAATTTCATTTTAAAATAATAAATTAATTATTAATGTTATTGATTTATAATAAATCGTCCGCACGTTATTAATCACTGTTAATATGGACGACAGAAAGCTTGTTAACCATCGCTCATCTTCTTCGTCGGATCCAATGATACAAACACCGGAGAATCCAGGACCGTACTCCACACAACCTAATTCTGACTCCGGGAATAGCCCAGATTCACACGTTTCGTCCAAATCCATTGAGAATAATCTCTTGCCATCTTGAAGATATCAAACTCTAAACAAATAGACATACAATAGGTCACTGTGAGATACAGAACTCTTCTCGACTCCCCGAAATATCGACATTCCTCCGGCGCATCCGGTCTATAATTTACTGAGTACTCGGCATAACTCACGCATTCGTGTACAACCCAGTGCAGACGAAGTAACACGAATATCCCCGGTAGTAAGTATATTTCCATCAGCCGGCCAGTGGGAGCGATCTGAATCGGTAACGCCATCAGCATTGTTTCTAAACATTCATTCTCTACATCGAAATACAATGACACGTTTTCATATCCGCACAAATGAATCCTTCTATTACAAAAAAAAATCCCTTAGTTTAACTCTATAGGCTCACCTTCATCTATCTCAAAAGTGATTATGGATAAATCCCAAGATCCAATCTTTGATGAATATAAATCCAGATTAAACTCACAAGGCTCCCTGTAATTTTCCCATATACAAATGATCTTGTAATCAGGTGATCTTAGAGGGTCAAAAGCTAAACTATCACAAAATCTGAAAAGGAAATTATAACATGAGTTACCAGGACATTAAATCTTCCTGAAAGCTTTAGTAGTTTGGTTGCAAATCAAGAAACTTCTTCTATATGATTCACAGAAAAGCAATCCATTGGAAGATTGAAGAATCTAGACATCAGAGTCGTTGACGTAATGAAAGAAAGGAAATTAGCTGACCCATGTGTAATGAGATAAGGAGGAGATAGGATAATAGGCTGCCCGCCAGGTTGAGAGCAACTTCCGTGGAAGAACTTTGACAGTCAAAATTATGAATTACCTACCGTGGGACTCGATCCCACGACCACAAGATTAAAGCCTTGCGCTCTAAGGAACATTGTAATGGCTCAAAGGAACAGTGAGATCAAAGATACGGGTTTTAATCACACCATTGATATATTAATTTTGTCGATTATATTATTTAACTATATAAATGAATTGTTGTAATTCCTTGAAGTTTCAGGTTCGAGCACCAAGAATGCAAATGAATATAACACATTTGATTCTCGTTACTTGCACATTCAAAAGTAACATTCTATCAATTTGATATTCATTTTGATTTAATAAATTTAAATCACTAATGAAATGAATTGAGGAAATTTTATTTTAATTTAATTAATTAAAAAGATTCATCCAAACATATTTAAAAAAAATCTTCCAATCTATTTGATTAGAAGGTTAAATTTATTGAACTAAATCAAAATTAAGATCAAATTAATAAAATATAAAAAAAACAATCATCAAATATATAGTTATATCAATTTTAAAGTCTGCACATATCTCTTTTGAATCTCACATTTTTTTATAGTCTGATTTTTGTGAGTATTTGTTGATTTTTTTGGGTGATTTGCACAGCTTCACAACGTTGAGTTTCATATCTCACTCTCTCTAATTACTATTAGAAATTGCATATTATTTTTCCCAGTTGATTCGTCTTTTGTGGTTTATTTTAATTTTTTTTAATCTAAGTTTAATTTCTCTTGAACACCCTTTTTTCGGTTGTTTGTTCGATGTTGGGATTTGAGTTAGCTGGTGGGTTCTTTGCAAAATAACTAAAGTTTCAACATTGGATTGAAATCTGCAATTCGATCGTTGAAAAAATTTTGGGGGTTTTCTTGACTTTTACATTTAAGTAAGATAGTGTTAATTTGTCTTAAAATCCTATTAAGTAACTAACTAGGCTTCTTAGTACCCCTCAATTCTCTAGCGTTTTCATAGTTCCTCATAGCTCCGGCTATAGATGATTACTTGAGGTCATTTCCTTCTTTTAGATCCCATAGGGCGTATAGAGGGAGGGCTCGACAGAGTGGTGCCAAAGAGACTAGACTTAGAGTTTGTTCGTTGAATGTAGGCACATTAAATGCTAGGCTGCTGGAGCTGACCGACGTACTTAGTAATAGGAAAATTGATTTTGCATGTATTCAGGAGACTAGGTGGAAAGGGGCTCGCGCCAGAGAGTGTAATGGGTACAAGTTGTGGTATTCAGGCGTAGATAACGCTAGAAATGGGGTGGGTATCTTGGTATCCTCTAGGCTCAAGGAAAATGTAGTTGAAGTTTGTAGATATCGGGATAGGATCATGATGATTAAGGTTATTATAGAAGCGGAAATGGTGAATGTCCTTTCAGTGTACGCCCCACACGTTGGCCTAGGGGATGGGGAAAACGTTGCTTCTGGAATCAGTTAGATGATGTACTTAGGAGCATTCCAGAGGGCCAAAGAGTTTTCATAGGGGGAGACTTCAATGGCCATATAGGTAGTGCAAACGACGGGTACGACGGTGTTCATAGGGGTTTCGGTTTTGGTAGTAGGAACGAGGAGGGGCGTACGTTGCTTGAATTTGCTACTGCACATGATATGGTGGTCACTAACTCCTTTAAAAAGAGAGATGTGAACTTGATTACGTTCCATAGCAGGGGATATTGTACCCAAATCGACTACATTCTGGTTCGAAATCGGGATCGATGGACTTGCATTGACTGTAAGGTGTTCCCTGAAGAGGCATGTGCATCACAACACAGATTGTTGGTTTTGGTATTCCACGTACGCCGCGGGCGGAGCACTCATAGGAGGGATAAACTTGATAAACCTAGGATCCTTTGGAAGCACTTACATGGAGCGACAGCTGATGACTTTAGGAGTAAGGTTTTGTCTAATACAAGTTTTGGAACTACAAAATTAAATAATGCAGATATGTTATGGAAAAATATGGCAAATTCCATTAGAGATGTGGGCAAAAACACTCTTGGGTTGTCGACAGGGAAGGTCAAGGAACATAAAGAATCGTGGTGGTGGAACGAAGAAGTCCAAACTAAGGTGAAGAGAAAACAAACTTGCTTCAAGGAGTTTCTACAATGCCATGACGAAGAAGAAAGATCGAGAGCTAAACAAAGATACAAGGACGCAAATCGGGAAGCCAAGTAAACAGTGGCTAAAGTAAAGGATAAAGCATACGAGGAAATGTACAAGAGATTAGACACCAAGGAAGGACAAAACGGCATCTTCAAGCTTGCAAAATCCAGGGAAAATAGGAAAAAGATCTAGGTAGCATTAGTTTATTAAGGACAACAATGGTATTCTTTTAGTTAAAGATCATGATATTAAGAGGGTTTGGGGTAGTTACTTCTTTAGCTTATTTAATAATGTGCCTCTCCCTGTAGAGATAAATCGTTGATAGGTCAGCCGACCATCATACTACGACCAATGACTGCCCTACAAGTAGGATTGAGTTTGAGGAAGTCAAAATGGCTCTTAGAAAGATGGGGAGGGACAAAGCTGTCGGTCCAGATCAAATTCCTATCACGGTGTGGTTGACCCTAGGAGAAGAGGGAGTTAAGTGATTGACCAACATCTTTAATATTATTTTAGAGACTGCCAAGATGCCAGAGGAGTGGAGAGAGTCTACGGTGATACCAATCTATAAGAATAAAGGAGATCCCCAACGTTGTGGCAACTACAGAGGTATTAAACTACTCAGCCATACCATGAAGCTATGGGAAAGGGTAATAGAGGCTAGGTTGAGACAGGTTACTAGGGTTTCAGAAAACCAATTTGGCTTTATGTCAGGGAGGTCTACTACGGAGGCGATTCATCTACTTCGACGACTTATGGAGAAATATAGGGAAAAAAATAGTGATCTTCACATGGCGTTCATTGACCTTGAGAAGGCGTATGATAGCGTTCCCGCGATACGATCTGGAAGACCTTGGAAACGAGACGTATCCCAACTGCTTATATCCAGGTGATTCGTGATATGTACTGTAGATCTACTACTACCGTCAGGACTACAGTTGGCGACACCAAGGCATTCCCGGTGGAAATCGGACTCCACCAGGGGTCGGCTCTTAGCCCTTACATCTTCGCCTTGATTATGGACGACATCTATTGTGCGAAACCAGACGGTGTTCCATGGTGTATGCTTTTCGCTGACGGCATTGTCCTAATTGTTGAAACAAAAACTGAGTTGAATAGTAGACTTACTACCTGGAAGACTGCTTTGGAAGAAAAAGGTCTAAGGATCAATATTGAAAAGACAAATTATGTATGTTCAAACTTCAGTGGAAACCAAAACGATGAAGATGTAGAAGTATGCATAGAAGGACACATTATCCCCTCAAATGATTGTTTTAAGTACCTAGGGTCTATGATACATAAAGATGGGGGTGTAGATGAAGACGTTACACACCGTATAAAAGCGGGATGGCTAAAGTGGAGGGCTGCTACTGGAGTTTTGTGTGACAAGAAGGTGCCTCTAAAACTAAAGGGAAAATTTTATAGAATGGCAATAAGACCAGCGCTGCTTATGGATCAGAATGTTGGGCAATCAAGAAGGATCACGTAAGGAGGATGGAGGCCGCAGAAATGAGAATGCTTCGATGGACATGTGGTAGGACTCTGTGGGACATGACACCTAACTCTGCTATTAGGATGTACTTGGTGGTGGTGCCTGTATCCGAAAAATTGAGGGAGGGAAAACTACGGTGGTTTGGGCATGTCCTTAGGCAACAACCGTCGGATGCGGTCAGGAGGGTAGAGTCGATTACAGTCGACGG